TCCGCTCCGCTACCTGCCGGGCATGCGGCAAACAAGGACACATTGCAGCTGTGTGTCTGGGCCGACGAAAGGTACAACCTCAGGAAGAACTGCGCCTGAAAGGTACCAGATTCCCCAGCCAGAATAGGGTAGGGTTATGCGCTTCGCGAAGAAGCATCCTTAGGACAGGCACACACAAGCCCATTAAGAAAAAGCTGTCACTCAAGGTGAAGCTACAAGGGGTTCCATTATCTATGGAACTAGACACAGGGTCTGCCCTTTCAATATCTCCTTGCATACATTTAGGAAGATTTGTTCCGGTAGTGGAACTCAGGCCAAGTTAAGGCCTTCTGACATTGTGTTAACAGATTTTCAAAATTCAAGAGTGTGTGTTAAGGGGGAGGCCACCCTTAACGTGCAATACAAGAGTTTTGAAGGTCCACTAGACTTATTAGTAGTAGGGGGTGAACGAACGAGTCTCATAGGACTCGATTGGTTTGAGGCCCTGGGGATATACGTCACAGGACTCAACAGTTTACAAACACTCGACCTACAGGAAGTCTGCAAAGAATTTGCAGATGTTTTCAGCCCCCAGCTGGGCACATTCAAAGGACCCCCTGTGTCCTTAAAGCTAGACCCCACTGTCACTCCCATTAGAATTAAAGCAAGAAGGGTCCCTTTTGCTTTAAAGAGTAAAATTGACACTGAGTTAGACAAACTGATCCAACAGGGAATTCTAGAACCTGTTGATTCCAGTCCTTGGGAGACCCCCATTGTCACGCCTCTAAAGGCAAATGGGGACATTCGCATTTGTGCTGATTACAAATGCACTCTCAATAAGGCATTGCAGCAACATGCCTATCCTGTTCCTGTGGTCAGTCACATTCTGGCCTCTCTCAAGGGGGGGCGAGTTTTTGCAAAGCTTGACCTTGCTCAAGCATATCAACAGCTGCCTGTTGATGATGATGCTGCCATAGCTCAGACCATTGTGACCCACAGAGGAGCCTTCAAGGTAAAAAGGCTACAGTTTGGAGTGAATGTCGCTCCTGGGATTTTCCAAAGCGTAATGGAAAACACACTACGAGGTATACCAGGGGTTTGCCCCTACTTTGATGATGTCTTGATTGCAGGAGACTCCACACACATTCTAGCAGAAAGGCTTAGGGCTGTTCTGTTAAGATTCAGGAATCAGGCCTCAAGCTCAAAAAAGACAAATGCAAGATTGGGGTGCCTTCTACTGAATTTCTGGGGTTCAAAATTGATGCTGCTGGGATTCACCCTGCTGAATCCAAACTAACTGCTATTTTAGAAGCCCCCAGGCCTAAGTACAAGGCAGAACTTCAGGCCTTCCTAGGCCTCCTGAATTTCTACAATTCTTTTCTTCCACATAAAGCTAGTGTAGCTGAGCCTCTTCACAGGCTACTAGACAAACAAGCTGTGTGGCTGTGGTCACAAGCACATGAGGCTTGCTTTAAAGAAGTCAAGGCCTTGCTCACTTCTAACAGTGTTCTTGCACATTTCAACGAGTCTCTTCCTGTGTGCATCGCTTGTGATGCGTCCCCCTACGGGGTTGGAGCTGTCCTGAGTCACCTCAGGTCTGATGGAACTCAGGTTCCTGTTGCATACTACTCCAGAACATTGTCTTCTGCTGAGCGCAACTACGCTCAGATAGACAGGGAGGCTCTGGCTGTTGTTGCTGGAATTAAAAAATTCCATGACTTTCTATATGGCAGGCACTTCACGGTCTTCACTGACCATAAGCCTCTGCTGGGACTGTTTACCACACGTAAGCAGACTCCCCAAATCATTTCCCCTAGAATGCTTAGGTGGTCTATTTTTTTGTCTGCATATGATTTTTCTTTACTCCACAAGCCTGGAAAGAAATGGGCCATGCTGATGGCCTCAGTAGATTGCCTCTGCCAGTAGTAGAAGCTGACCCTGCGCCAGCTGTCAACATTCTATCAATCCAAGCCTTGCCTGAGCTCCCTCTTAGTGCCAGGGATGTTGCCGCTGAAACAGGTACAGATCACACACTTTCACGTGTCCGTTCCTGGGTTTTGTCTGGTTGGCCTGAGCACTGCCCTAGTCCTGAGTTTCAGAGTTTCTGGTCCAAAAGGAACGAGCTGTCCCTTTCTCAGGGTTGTCTGCTTTGGGGAAACAGAGTTGTCATTCCCACCTCAATGAGGACTAGGGTCTTAGAATCCCTCCACGAGGGTCATCCTGGCATTGTTCGTATGAAGGCTCTTGCGCGCAGCCACTTGTGGTGGCCTGGTTTAGATAAAGATATTGAGGCTAAGGTGCATGCATGCCACCTGTGCCAACGATCTCGCCCAGAGATGCCCCAAGCTCCCGTGCATAGATGGGAGGAAACACAGTCCCCATGGTCTAGGGTGCACATTGACTACGCTGGACCCTTTCAGGGCCAGTTCTTCTTGGTCCTTGTTGACAGCCATTCGAAATGGCTTGAGGTTGTACCTGTCTCATCCACCACCACTGCAAAGACTATTCAGGTACTGAGGGGGATTTTTGCTGCACACGGGCTGCCAGATGTCATTGTGTCCGACAACGGCCCTCAATTCACTTCCTCCGAATTCCAAGCTTTCTTACAGGCAAACATGATTCGTCATGCCACGTCTGCACCCTTCCACCCGTCCACCAACGGTATGGCTGAACGTATGGTGCGCATCACAAAGGACGCATTGAAAAGACTCACCTACGGGGACTGGCATCACAGGTTGGCTGACTTTCTCCTTTCTTATCGCACCACACCGTCCACTTCTACAGGGAGAAGCCCAGCTGAACTTCGTTGGGGGCGTCAACTTACTACTAAACTTGACCGGTTGCATCCGGACAGACTGCCTTCATCTACCTCACATCCTAGGGCACCTAGACAACTACTTGTGGGTGCCCCGGTTTGGGCTCGCAATTACGGGCCTGGTCATACATGGGTCCCCGCTTCTATTTCCAGGGTCACAGGTCCTCTCTCCTACGAGGTAGCCCTGGACAACGGTCGTGTCCTGCGTCGGCACATCGACCAACTCCGCCCTAGGCGGGACCTTTCAGATGAGACTCCTGGGTCTTTTCCAGGGGGGGAGGGGGACCCTTTGGAGCAAAGGGAAGGGCACGAGCTGCTGCCCATCTCCACTGATGGAGCCACAAACGGCCCATTCCAGGGTTCCGCGAGAGCTCCGAACAAGAATTCTATGAGCCTACCCAACTACCAGGCATCCACGCCTACTCCAGCCAGGGAGTCACCCCGGGGGCATACTCACTTTCCACACATATCACACAGCACTCCAGTCACGGAGGATACCCGGGGTCATCCCAACAAATCATTTCCCGCAAGAGAGCTGGCACACAATCCCCAAAGTTGGCCTGACCTTACCCCAAATCCTAAAGGGGGTCAAACATACAGGGAGGTGGTCGAGGAACCAAGTCCCGACTACAACACCTCTAGCCCAAATCAGGGAGTAACTGAGTTTTGGGAAGGTACAGAAACCCACACAAGCCCGGACACAGAACGGGTTTCAGGGAATGGACAGCCTCCTGACAGGTCTTGGACGGACCTAGGAGGTTCAACAGAGACGCCCAGCAGTGGCTATCACTTCAAGGGGCCCGAGGGTCTACAGCTAGGCAGGTCAACCAGGTCACAAAGTGACAGAAGCCCTGGCCTGACGAGCCCGGTGGGCGAGCAAGCAGGCCAGGCATCGGGGCACAGTCCTTGGAAGGCACCAAGGCAAAATAAGGAGAACAGGCTCACATCTCCCTCCAGTCAGGAACTCATGCTAGTAACCCAGAGCTGAGAAGGTCACAGAGAGCAAAGAAATCTCCTAAGTACCTAGAGGATTATATAACATTGCTGGCAAGACAAAAGCCAGCAAACAATGGGAGCACTGGGGAACGGAACATTGTATAGAGTAAATGATTATATGTTGGTAATAGTTTTAGCCCGGGAGAAAGGGGTGTTATGTCCCGAGCCTTGCAAACGGCTCAGGTGTTTGCAGGCAGTCCCGGGCAGGTGCAAAGCTGCCCGGGACCAGACAGGCTGTCGCCAGCGCCATGCGCATGCGCGGGTGCTGGCGCGGGAAAAGTAACACAATTACCCGGGAGTTGCCTATATAAGAGGCTGCGAGCGTTTGGGAACCATGAAGCCATCTACTTGTAAGCTGAACGCAGAATAAAGAAAACTGAGAACTCCAACTGCTTCTCGTGTCTGCTTTGCGCCAAGGACTCAACACTAATCACTATTATTTATGAACACAGCTTAGGATGTGGTATGAAGTCAGTAAACCAGTTAAAGAAACCATGACTTAATGCATCATGTGAACTTGATTGCATCTATTATGACAGTTTGATCTTTAACAAATTACTTGTTCTCAGGGAAGACATAAAGCCGTTATCTTTAGAACAGGAATGGACAACCCTCCAGATGTTGTGGAATTATAATTGCAATTGTCTTTAACCAATGATTGTGATAGCTAGGGCTGATGAGATCTGGCATTCAAGAACATCTTAAAGATCACAGATTCTTTTCTTGAAGCAAAGAAGACTAAATAAGAGAATTATATGATATGCCCTCAGAAAGTCAACAGGTGTAATCACCAATATCCAAAGTGTAATGTTCCAAAGGGGGGGGGGGGGCGTCCAGCCTTGGGAACGTTTAAGACTTATGAACTTCAAGTCCCAGAAGCCAGCTGGAAGTTGAAGTCTACAAGTCTTAAAGTTGCCAAGCTGGACACCCCAGTCCAAAAGATATTTGCACATTCCCAGCTGTGTCTGGAGAGATGCCCAGAACATTAACTTCATGATGATAGGTATCTACTGTGGTTTATAAAGCAGAGGTTCAAAATCAGATCCAGCCCCGTATTCTATTTAAAAGGAATTGCAAGGGAAAATGACAAATATGGTTTGAAAATTGGGTGGTTGAGTTACCCAGGTCAGATTTTTTAGTCAATATCAAGGAAAACGATTAAGAAGTGTTAGTCAATGGCTTCCCAAAAGGCACCCTGGATGGAACTTACCTTTGACGTGGTAGAGAGCTCCAAAATCTGGGGTGGTGTTAGAATAATTGCACGCATTTCCTGAAAGAAGAGAAAATAAAGGTGAATGTACATGTTGAATTCCATTATGCTGCCATCAGATTTTCTGCAGAAACAAAGGAACAAAGAATGGGAAAGCTAGAAGAGGAGGCTAGCATTGCAGTTTTGCAATCATTGGGTTCACATATGATGTTAAGCCATATCGTGGTCTGCTTGTTTTTCAGTATAGTGCATTGTACCAATCAAGCTTACTAAATTAAAATGCATGGTTCAATATGTTGCACAAATTTGGCCAATTGTCAGGGTTGTTTAGCACAATGTATAGGTCAGTGGTGGCAAACCTATGGCATGGGTGCCAGAGGCGGCACTCAGAGACCTCTCTGTGGGCACACGCGCCGTCGCCCCAGTCCTAGGCCTTCAGCTGGGTTTTATAAAACCTTTTTAATTTAGGCCCCTGCCGCTGTGTGCAAAAAAAAAAAATAAAAAGTTCGATCAGTCAATTTCAACTTCTCGCGGGAAAAAAAAAGATCTTGCAGAGTTGGAATTGATTGATTGAACTTTTTAGTCCTACCCAGTCTGCTGTTACCACTGCAGCCACACCCACCCAATGGGCCACACCCACCCGGCACCCAACGATGCATAAGTGGGTTTTGGATTGCAGTTTGGGCACTCAGTCTCTAAAAGATTTGCCATCACTGGTATAGGTCATCTGTGACTTACAACTGGACGCTTAGTAACCACCATTAGTAAATCAAGGGGCATGGTATCATTAGTAAATCAAAGAGACATGGTTTAATATGTTGCACAAATGTGGCCAAATCACAATCCTGTCAGGATTATGTTTAGCACAATGTACAGGTAATCTTTGACTTACGACTGAATGCTTAGCGACCAGTTGAAATTATGACAGACCCATCTTGAAGCTAGGATTTGAAATTCTGATGGCTACCCCCCCCCCCGTCACATGACTGAACACAAGCACATTTGTGTCCTACATTCAAGGGGTGTTTTGGGATGGTTTTGCCAAAAACTGGCATTTACATCTGTTTTTTGTCAAAATTGTGCCCAGAGCAAATCATTCATTCATTTACTATCTATGGCATTTGCTTAACAACCACCACAAAAAAAGTTGCAAAATCATCCTGTTTATGACCATCACAACTTATAACTGGGGTGGACATAAGTTGAGAACCACCTGTATGAATCCCAGCTGTAAACCTCTTGCTATTTGCTTCTGTGAAAGTGCAATTAAGTGACAATAAGAAAATCAATACCATCCTGCTTTTAGTTCTTCTTTGTAATTATGTCACCTTGGAACAAGTTAGAAACAAACACGCCTTCCAGCCTAAGTCCTCCTATCTGCAATAGAGGGGACCATAATACAGATTTATAAGCCATGGTTGCTATGTTTATTACAGTGAAACAATACATGCCAAGGGCTTCCACTTTTCAAAGTGGATGCATCTCACCCTGGTAGACATCCACATATCAAGCAATGACAAAAAATGTATGGTACTAAAAATGGCTGGCAGAGTTGCCCCAAATTTACTTAGCTTTGCTTCATTGCTAATAACAAAAATAATAATTCATGTTGGCACACCATTCTTTCACACCTCTACAGTTTATTGCAGTTATATTTTAGATCAGCTTCCCCAACCTAGTGCCCCTCATTAGAGCCCCTCTATGAGAAACTGCATTAAGAAGTTTGATAGAAAAAGAAAGGAAGGAAGGAAGGAAGGAAGGAAGGAAGGAAGGAAGGAAGGAAGGAAGGAAGGAAGAAATTCATGTATATAAATCACACAATAATGTTACAGGTTTACAATCTTGTGGGGCCGCATTACTACCTATCCAGGGCTGCATGCGGCCCATTGGCCACGGACTGGCCATGCTTGATCTAGAAGATGCCAAGTTTGGAAATCCTGATTTAGATGTGAGCACATGCCAAACCGATATCCTGACTATCTTCAGATTACCTACTCCACTCTAAATAGAATTTGCCAATATCCAAAATGCATGCAAATAAGGCATATTAGACTAGAGGACTTCCAAAGTCCACTTGAACTCTTCAATTCTAAGTGTCTCCTGCCAAGCTTTGGACCTCAAGCAAGGAAGTGAACACCTTTTGCGACTTTCTGACAAGCAAAGTCAATGGGGAAGCCTGAGTCACTTAACAACCGTGTTACTAACTAACAACTGCAGTGATTCACTTATCAGCTTGCTGTGGTAAGAAAGGTCATAAGACAGAGAAAAACTCATTTAACAACTGTCTTGCTTAGCTATGGAAATTTTGGACTCAGTTGTGATCATAAGTCAAGGACTACCTGTATTTGAGACATGAAAGACTAAAAAATAAAAAGAGGAAAAGCAAAGCAAAGCAAACAAAAGGAAAACTGAGCCCAAATCCAAAACTGGGTTCAGGTAGCATGTAAAACCCAAGTTAACAATAACATGGTCCCTGTACTATCATTAACATTTTATGTCAAAGCATATTATAGCTTCAAGAGACAACTCAGCTCAGACAATATGGTGGGTCAATGGCTGGATTCTTACAACAAACCAAACCACAAATTATCCTCAAGCTCATTATAGCTTAGTCCAAATACTGTGTGAAACTTGACAATGTAGATTGAGTTGAGTTGAGTACTCTCCTTTTGACTGAGACTTCAAAGCGTATCAGTTTGTGTAAGATTCATCCCTGTTATTAAGCAACTTCACTTGGAAAAATACAACCCTGGCCAAATCACAAAAACAAGACAACACAACCAGAAAATGGAGTTGATCCTTTCTTTAAAGTCAGCATTTTCCATGACCACCGCAGAATTGAGCAAGGCTACTTGATGAAGAAGAGATAAATTGCTACCATCTAGGAAGACAAGCCTTACAGCATCCATTTCCATCCTTGTTTGCTTTCTTGTCCTCTCTGTATAAAGTAGTTGGGCACAGAACGGGAGAAGCGGGTACAAATGAAATATTCTTGATTACTACTGATTCCCAGGCAAGGCTGAGCAGTTGAGATATTCACATGTTCCATTAGGAGTAAGTTCTGGCGTTTCAAGGCAATGTGCTCTTCCTTCATTTTTTACCCCAAGACAGCACTTTTCCTGGTAATTCAAATATACATTTTCCTCTTTCTTCCCTTTATTGTCTTCTCACTTTTGGACTTTCTGTTCCAACACTGGAGCAAAGAAGTTGTGATGGAGGATCTACAGATAGATATCTAAGTTTCTTGATTCTCAATTGTTGAAGGATTTGAGAGCAACATTGACAGCAATAACTAACTAACCAACCAATCAACCAACCAACCAAGCTGTGGCTCAAGCTAAAAACTACCTCTACCCATCTCAGTGCTTCTCACTCATAAAGCCTGGGATTAGGTTTATTCAGTGTGGAATTGGAAGTTTTCATATTGTCACATATGAACAATCTGATGCAACATTAGGCCTTTACTAAAACAAGGAACAGATGGCAAATATCTAGTACCTAAACTTTTTTTTTTTTGCTTCCATCCCTTTACAAAGATTGGGGAGAAAAAGAAATTATTATAAGCAGAACCTGAGTTGATTATTCAGCAGTTGTTAAGAGTTTTTCATAATGGCTTCTTGGATTTTCTAAAATGTATCACTTTTCCAAAGCTTCCAGATTCTTGAGTATAAGTTTATTTGTTTCTGCTAAGCATGTCAAAAAGTCTAAAAGTATTTGTGCAGTTATGGGTTGCCACTGTCATTTGTTCCCTAATACTTCAATCTATTTCATTTCCAGCTATTAGTCTACATTCATCCCTAGTTAGTAATTTTTTTGCACTTAACGAACAATGATGCTCTCACAGCCAGACTTAAGGAATTAAACAGATGCTATGGCAACCATGATGGACTGAAATACTGAGACAGAACACCCCCACCCTCTTCTTTGTGCAACCTCCAGGGAATTTTGCTCAACACCTTGGACTCTTTGCTATGGATTTTTTAAAAATAAGTCAAGATATTAACAGGAACAAGAGGAGTTAAAATGCGATAGCAGTGTTCCAATATCTCAGGGACTGCCACAAAGAAGAGGGGGTCAAACTATTTTCCAGACCACATGAAGGCAAGACAAGAAGCAATGGATGGAAATTAATCAAGGAGAGAAGCAACCTAGAAATAAGGAGAAATTACCTAACAGTTAGAACAATTAATCAGTGGAATGGCTTGCCTTCAGAATTTGTGGGTGCTTCAACAATGGAGGTGTTTGAGAAGAGTCTGGGCATCTGTTTGTCTGAAATGGTATAGGGTTTTCTGCTTGAGCATGGGATTGGACTAGAACAGTGGTTCTCAACCTGTGGGTCGGGACCCCATTTGGGGTCGAATGACCATTTCACGGGGGTCGCCAAACCATGCTGTCCGCCATTTTTTTCCCTTTTCCTTAGCTGTCCTACTCCCTCTTATTGGTGGCCACACCCACTTAGGGGTCACCACAACATGGGGAACTGTATTATGGGGTCACGGCATTAGAAAGGTTGAGAATCACTGGGCTAGAAGATCTCCAAGGTCCCTTCCAATTCTGTTATTCTTTTTATTAAAAAAAAACTTCCTGGAATATGTCAAGGTCACCTCAGTGAAAATTGTGCAGCATTATCTCATTTGGTTGACTATTGTCTTTCATGATATACTCTCAAATGTACAACATTAAGAAGAACGGAAAAAAAAGTCTTGTTTTACCACTGAGCAATAAAAAATCCCCAGGGTGTTTTCCTCTCACACATGTAAAAACACATATATACACTCCATTTGACTTTAAATTCCCCCTTTCCCTTTGCTTTGTTATGTCGTTCCAGCTCTATGAAGATCAAAAGATTCTTCACTGACAATTAAAAAAAAATAGGCATCACACCGAACAACTGTTTTGCAAGGGGCCATTATCCGTAGGCAATTATCTCTCTCCCAGACTCCTATATTTCTCTATAACCTCTCTTTTTACTTGTTCCCCTATCACCATACACACTTGCCAAAACCGTAGCAGGACGGAAAAAGAAATTCCTTCTAGGTGAGCAAGACTGAGCTAACAGT